GATTCTACATTGATTTTAACAGAGGGTGTATAACAAATATATCAAGAAAGTATGAGCTGGGGACAACAATTTCTAAACGAAAAATTTATAGGATGCGTTGTTCTCATATCCTAAACCGATACTGTAGCGTATGCTGGAGGAAGATGATTTAATAATCTTCGACTTTCAACCGAAGTAACAGATAAAGGGATATAGTTCGCAGGACATAGTTATTATTTAGGTTCCCGGAGCCAGAAAAAGCTGTGCAATTGTATTTGACTGATAAATCCTAGACACCGGATCCACTTCGATGTTGAAAAAATATTTGACAAGGGTAGAGGTATAATATTAAAAACCTTATACGGGCTTATGCGGGAAAAAGAGGTGAAGAATATGGTAAGAATCTTAAACTATGGAATAAGAAAAAATGTACATGAAATTGTGAATTTTCTTAAACAACATCATACAGTCTGTAACAATCATTGCACAAATTATGTGGGTTATGACGAATGAAAATGTAATATGTATTGTACACAAAATAAATATAAATTAGCATATGAAGCTGCGTTCCTATTTGAAACATCAAGGACGTATGTGGTGAGGACTACTTAGCATAGTGCGGGAACCTTGATCCTGAGTGGTTGCAATCTTATCCAGTCCGAGTAAGCCATCTTAGGTTTGTGAACCAACAAGTTATTGTTCATGTTTTTGTCATTAAAACCTTTTCACCCGATTTCAGTAAAATTTCAGGGCTGCCCTCAAAGTTTCATCCATGGTTGGGAGATTGACATTCTCTTTTGCCATCATCTAAAAAAAGGTTGTCATCAAAAGGTGACTTCTGTAGGGTTTACTACAAAAGCTATTCGGTGTAGACCATCAAAGTAACAAGCCCTAAGTAAATCTAGAACGTATATGTGACAAAATCTGTCGACAAACATAGCGCATTAGATAGAAAAGCTTATAGGTTACGAATTTATGGCAATTAGTTACTTGATTACTATTCAGCGATATTTGGCTCCAATCAAATGCTGATAATTCAGATATAGTTCTGAACGTAGCTTACGGATGTTATAAAATAACTTTGTGCTACCCAATTATGAGAACGTAATCTAAACATTTTCATACAGGGTTGCGTTTGTGCTGTCTACCGCCTACTTGTCCAGTTCTGTTAGTACTCATTTTCTAATACTCTTAGTACGATCTAATACAGTGTAATCCATTATTGTCAATTTTTGTAAAACATTTTTTTGTCATTGATATTATGTAGTTGTATAAAATGACTGAAGTTGATATGCTCAATTCCTGGTCTGAGGTAGGTTTTCTCATGATGATCAATCTACTGGTTGTGATTTGTAGATGAATAGTAATTTTCAGAAGAGCAATAATATTACTCACTTGATAGATGAGAATCCGGAAATATTCGGTAGTTAACAAATCCTCTTGTAGCTTTTACACAAATTACTTTTAGATGGATCAAGCCTATTCTCTCATTTCTGTAATCTTTGGAAAAATTCACAAACCTCTTTATCTGAGATTCCTGTTCAGTATGGTAATGCGTGCCATAAAATTGTTCAAAGACTACCCAAAATTTTCACTGAAAAGTCTCATCGTAAAGGGTAAGATCCATTCAAATTTACATGATTATCTTTCTACAAGATTACCCAATATTCGTAGCATCACAGAAATGATCAATCTTGAGAGGAACACATAGAATCTTATTTCAAGCATTTACTTGGATCGTTTTGAATCAGAAACTAAAACCGGTACCGTTGAAGGAAATGATTTATCTGTACGAATTTGATTGTTTTGTTTCATGTTTTTTTATGTGTCGTCCGGTTTACTCGACTCATTCATTATGATACAGTTTTTCCTTTATAGTTCTAAGAATTTGTTGTCAACTAATCTGATTTTGTTGGTGTATTTGAATATAACTGTAACTACCAGTTATAGATTATTTGGATTCTGGTTTGGAGCCCTATAGTAAACTAATTTCTTAATAACAGCAACTTTAACCATTGTTCATGGTGTCACCACTCTACCACGTAGGCATTAGTTACTCAATCATTGGCTCACATGCTTAGAATACCTACTTCTCTTCTAGTTGGTGTTGACAAATATCTGCAGTACAACAAGTTTGACTTAAAGCCCAGTGAATGAGTTAGTTAATTTCTTCTCTTTTCATATCAGAATGTTCAGATTATAGTCCTGTTTAGCTAAGGTGTTAACAAAACAGCCTTCTAAACACATTAGGCTACTGTGCTAGTATGTTTGAGATGCGTTTCTTGCGTTAATGTAAAATGTTCCAAAACTGGTATGCAACAGTTCCTAATTTAATAATATGGAGTGGGACAGTTGAGCTTGTCTGTCTGTAGAAGCTTAGTTAACCATAAAGGGCTAGTGTCTGACTAAATATTTGTATCGTCACTTATGGCGTAGGTGGATGTTCTTCTCCCAACCAATGGACGATTTAACTACTCAGAATTTCTCTGTGAGACCTAGACGTTAAAAACAGATTATGACTAGGTTATTAGTACTCAATCAAATGTGCCTTCAGAGCACTACTCGTGTAGTTTGGTACCATCGAGCTAGTAATTTAAAGGTTGAACTTAGTGTATTAGAAAAGACAGTACATTAACTGATGCGTATGTTTAACCACCGGAATGGTTAATACATGTGATTATCCATTCCTCAAATATATCGACACACTATGACGGCTGATTTAAGACTAGGTTGAGGCAGTCAGTCAGTCAGTTGCAACGTAGAACTTCGTACGTATGTACATAAGTTCAGGTTGCCATACCACATTAGCACAGAGACGCAAATGTCAAATCAAATCCCATAGTGATAAAGATAGTAGAAGTATTAATGGTCATGAAGAAGACTAGGGTTTGAAGATATTATTAAAGAAGTATAATTCAGTGATATAAGTTTAGAAAGAGAAAGATAGAGGTGCTGACGAATCCATAAGTTTAGGTTTTGAGAGAGCTCAAAGAATGGATGGACTTGCGCCATTTCAAACGATTTAGAGCCATGTCGTTCAAGGTCTCTAGCGATTGGTGACTTTCATTTTGCGGACGCCAAGCAGATAGCCTACACCTACCAACATGACTCAGTCCACTTGACAGTGACAAGACTGGGTTGAGTAGAAAAAAGATTAGTTCTGTTTCAACCAAAAATCGACCTAAATTAGGCAGCCATTGAAAACCTAAGTATACTAAACAACCGTTTCGTCGCAATTTGTGGTTTCTCAACAATGCGCATACTCGGCGAGACTCAAACCCAAGGCATATTCACTTTTGCTCGTGACCACTCAAACCTATGGACCAAACCAAAACATGGCAGAAATCCATGAAGTCATTGACAAGTGGACTTAATCATGTCGGTAGTTGTCGACTACCTGGTTGGGGTCCGCGAGATGATAATAATTGATGGTTAGAGACCTTGAATGACATGGCTCAAAACCGTTTGCAATGGCGCCGGTGCATTTATTCTTTGTGTTCTCTCAAATCCTAATCTTCTGGATTCTTCAACACATCTAGTTTTGACTTTCTAAACTTTTCTCACTGAATCATACTTCTTGAATAATATCTTCTAATCCTAACCTCTCCGATTACTTCTAATACCTTTACTACCTCTTCTACTATTGGATTTGAATTGACAATTATATCTCTGTGCTGATGTGGTATGGCAACATGAACTGATGTACATACGTACGAAGTTCTACGTTGCATCTGACTGACTGATGGACCAGTGGGTGTACAAGCCTAACTTTATTCAGTATATGATTTAACTAGTAAATTGTTATTGTTTTTACAACTAGACTTGTTATATCTACTTGTTTTATTCATTTTCATTTATTTTTCTTACTTTTTCATTGATTATATCGTTTGTTAGAATTTTAATCATTCGGAACGGGAAATTATTCGATTACTATATGAAAGAGATAATGAACTTCGTGAAACTCAGGTTGGTAGTTTGACTTTTTTCCGGTTACATATACATGGGATATGAAGTTCATAAACTATTTACTTTGTTAGATCCTAGATCAATCTTGAATTTTAGTGAAGAGACCGTACTAAGTATTACGCTAGTGGTAACGGCCAAACCGTTTTGCTGACTAAAGTCATGTTTTGATGTATACAAAATTATACAAAAGAGTCTTCATTATTTTTCCTGTGATCAACAAGTCCTTATCGGTCACCTGAGCGTTCGATCTGCATGGTCAAGTTCATCATTAACATCACAGTATTCATTGCCTATTCCTTTTCAGAAGAGATCCGTTGAACCTAGTTTTGGGGATTTGATTCTGACTACTTTGGTCTCGTATCGTGTTACGAGTATGATGGCGGATGTCACTTCCCAGTTGCCTACACCCTGGAAGGATATTTTTTGAAAAGCTTGAATAGGAAGGTAGATGAGGGTTAGTTGTAGAGACTTACAAGCCTAACCACATAGCCCAAGGCGACTGCTTAAGGTCGGCCTTTTTGTAATAAGTTATCTCCGTTCTTCAAATGTCTTTACCGTCGAAGACGTAAATCCGTGAGGTAAAGTGAGGTGTGGCATTTTTAGGGTCGACCCTTCCTTCCTTGTTAGAAGGCAGCATCGCTGCAGATGTCGGTAATCCGAGCGAGACACCTTACTGCTATCGCACCCCTCTGCAGCCATAAGTACGACTTCGCCCTCAGATCTTGAGTAGCTGCTTTTAGTCTGATCGTTCTCCAATCGACCTGCCTGGCATGGTAGAACCTATAGGAACATATATTCCAGCCAATGTAGCTCGGTTGGGTTATGATGATAAGCAGGCCCGATCACCACATCTGTCACACCTCTCTACAGTCCGCAGTACGATCCCGCTATCATACCTTGAATTGCTGCTTTTAGTCTTACCGTTTTCCAGTTGACCTGCTTGGCATGGTAGAACCTAAACAAACGGTGATTCTAGTGTCTTCTTGATTTTTTTACGTCAATACCTGAACTAACATTAAGGAGTGAGTTAGTCCAGTGCATTGAATTATTTCGGAAGTCTCATTCGCTCATCATGGCCGATGTATGATAACATGCAAACACAAATTCCGAAAGTCCGGTTGTCTTTTGATGACTTGGGTCACTTTCGATGTTAACAATGTCTCTGTCCGCCAGCTGGAAGATGTCTGTACCGCACTTTATTACTCCATAGTTGTATAGCATAGTTTATGAGAACAGAATATATGAGTAGGCAGGTTTTTTATGATACTTTCTGTTGCTAATGCACGTAAACATGTCATTTGATAGGCTTGAACTATTACAAGTTTACGTTAATCGGAATACGACAGCAAGGATTGAGGATCCGGCGACATGACATGCCACTCAGATCCGATATATCCTAACACCTCCCTATGAAGAAGCTGAAGCGACACGATGGTTTATTTGGATCTGGACTTTTGTTTGCTTCTGTCGGGGAGGATATTTCTGGAACGGAGATGAGGACCATTCTTGGGTACTTCTGAGCGGGTTGGCTTCTTATATTCTTGATGGGACTTCTGCTAATGTTAGCTGTTTGACCCAAACTTACCGAGTAATTTTAAATCGGCTGTCGGATTGAGCTGAAGTGAGGTGGACTGACTGGGTGTAGTAGGGAGCACTGCTACTCTAGTAAGTTGACACTCACCTGAAATCCTCAGGGCCAATGAACACATTATGCCAATAAATTGAAACAGATGTGAGAAGAACAAACAAAAATTGGACAGAACAGCACAAAGTTAGTTGGAGAAGGCTGGTCAGCGGCCTATGCTTCTTATATCTTCGTTCATCTCTTATTCTTATTGTTATTTCATTAACTCGTTTCTATAATCTTTTTAGATATTAATTGATTGGTTAGAACGTATAGTTCGTGAACAAATTGAAGAAGTTGCAGAGAAATATGAATGTTTATTCAATCAAACAACAGCTTGGTAATTTTTAAATTGTTAGCTTTTTCTATATTTCATACAACTTATTTACTAAGTACATGTTTTTATAAACTCAGCTTTTAAACGTATGTGATACTACTTTCAGCTGTTTAGATAAATTTTTGGTGAAAATATTATTTTCAGCTATTGATTGATCAGTGCTGATGGCCTGGTGACTGACGAAATCTCAGCTCGGATACAGAAGGCTCGATCGGCTTTTGCCGACCTGCGTCACTTATGGCGAAGGCGAGATATCCGTTTTCTGACTAAAGGACAGGTGTACTGTGCAGTGGTTCGCTCCGTCTTACTTTATGGCTGTGAAACATGGCCAGTCAGAGTAGAAGATATTCGTAGGTTACTGGTTTTCGATCATAGGTGTCTTCGAAGCATTGCTCGTATATCGTGGGACACCCGAGTGAGCAACACTGTTATTAGGAATCGGGTGCTAGGTAAGAATGGCAGATCAATAGATGAAGTAATGAAATTTCATCATTGAGGTGGTTGGGACATGTGTTACGTGTGCCTAACCACCGACTACCGCGACGAGCTTTGTTTTGTAGTGTAGGAGTAGGTTGGAAGAAAGTTAGGGGCGGCCAAACCAAAATATGGCATAATTCCATGAAGTCACTGACAAGTGGACTTAGCCATGTCGGTAGTTGTCGACTACCTGGTTGGGTTTCGCGAGATGATAATAATCGATGGTTAGAGACCTTGAATGACATGGCTCAAAATCGTTTGCAATGGCTCAGGTGCATTTATTCTTTGTGTTCTCTCAAATCCTAATCTTCTGGGTTCTTCAACACCTCTAGTTTTGACTTTCTAACCTTATCTCACTGAATCATACTTCTTGAATAACATCTTCTAATCCTAACCTCTCCGATTACTCCTAATACCTTTACTACCTCTTCTACTATTGGATTTGAATTGACAATTACATCTCTGTGCTGATGTGGTATGGCAACATGAACTGATGTACTTACGTACGAAGTTCTACGTTGCACCTGACTGACTGAGCTATTGATTGACTGTTTTAACCGCTGCCACTCCTTTCTGGAACACAGACTACTCACCAACTTTGTCAAAAACTCTCCTGTCCAATTGTTCCCAAGTGTTATTCATGCATCTAATGTCCGTCTCAAATTCTTAGCGTAATGTATTTTTTGATCTGTTTCTTTTCATTTGGCCCTTAAGGGTTCCAAGTTAGGGCATACCTCGTGGTTGAGTGCAGGCGATTTCCACAACGTTTGTTCTATCGACTTCTAGCTGCTTTTTCCTAATTTTTTCAGCTAGAAGTTGGTTTTTTCTCTGCCACAGTAGATTACTGCTGTTGGTGTCTGAATAACTATCTTAAGTAGACAATGTTTGATAAATACCTCTGTCTTTTGGATGATAGCTTTTGTAGTTCACCACGTTTCAGCTCCGCTCCCTAGACAGCTGTCTTGACGTTTGTATTAAAAATTCTGTTGTAATCATTAGAAGCTATTGTACCTCATCCATTTGCCAGTCATATTTACTTTTCATTTAGTGAATGTAGATCGACCCACTGTACTCAGCTTCTCCTCAAGTAAAATGTCGTAATGAACAAAGACTTTAAAACTAAATGAAACAAGCGATTTATTTCCAAAAGACTAAGAAAATGTGTCAGTCAGTCATTTACAGCGTAGAACTTCGTAAGTACGTACATAAGTTCAAGTCACCATACCACACTAGAACACAAAGACGCAACTGTCAGTTCAAATCCCATGGTACTGGAAATAGTAGAAGAATTGGCGGCAATCGAGAATATTAGGGATCGAAGATATTATTCAAGAAGTATAGTTCAGTGAGATAACATTATAAGAGAAAGATAGTGATGATGAGGAATTCCGAAGATTAGAATTTCAGAGAATACAAAGAGTGGATGCACCTGTGCCATTGCAAACAATTCTGAGCCATGTCATTCAAGATCTCTAACCATTGGTGACTTTCGTCTGACGGACCCCAACCATGTAACCTACATCTACCAACATGACTCAGTCCACATGTCAGTGACTTGATGGATTTGTGCCGTGTTTATGTTTGGCTGCCTGCTCTTAAACCACAAAACATAGCTCGTTCAGGTATACCTGTAACAGCACAATCTTCAGACTTGCAACTGTAAAATAAGTAGATCTTCGACTCTCTGCTCCCACCACCAGTAGAGTTCAACGGCATCGTGTGTGAAGCAGTGCAACGGCGGATGAAGTTGCGTAAGACTGTGGATTGATCGAAGCTAGACATTAACATTGTTGGATGCTGGCTCATTTAAGCTTTTACGAGCAAGATTGGAGGTCCTGGGTTCGGTTCTTGCGAGCATCGGGAGTCTTGAACGTGCACCGCTGATCAGTCCATATCAGGACGAAACGGCCATCCATGTTTGTAATAGTCGTCTAACATTAATCGATTCATGATTTCCAAATTAATTTTTCGGCAAATTAAATAAAATAAAATTTATTATCTATACTCTCATTTGCTAGGGAGAATACAGCACATTTATTGAGTTATCTGTCACAAGCAGAGTTGTCGAAACATCGTTTGGTCAAAGAATTGGTAAGTGTTTTTTTTATTTTGTCTTTAAAAACTTCGAGTTCCTACTAATTTTCGCATGTTTTGTTTTGTCTCCCAGAAAGATTGTTTTGTTACTGGAATTTCAATATCAACTAATAACTTTGAACTTCTTTACTTCTTCAAGCCTTATAACCATAGTTAAGAGTTCCGTTAACTGGTCAATGGTGATCATATTCATGATATTATTATGTGAATTTGAATAAGATCAAGTATACTAATTTGATAGCATTTGAAAAGTGTATTGTCCGCAAGGTCAAATCTGTCACTTCTAAACCTAGTTTTATGTATCATATAAGCATGGATGTGAATATATGAAGAGGTAGACATGGCTTCCGACCGTAGCTACTACATTGATGTGGTGGTCGGACTTTTGTTTCGTGATGATTCAAACATGCTATATTGGCTAAAACATATGTTTCTGCAGTTTCTGCCATGCCAAGCAGGTCGATCGGAGAAGGATTTGATTTGGACCAATTTGGTCTCGTGTGCTGTTACGGGTATGAGGGCGGTTGTCACTTCCCGGCTGCCCACACCGTGGAAGGTTGTTTCTTGAGGGACCTGAAATGGAAAGTAGATTAGTGTTGGTCTTAGAGATCTGGAAGCGGCACCACAGAGCCCAACGGACAACTGCTTGAAGCCGGTCACGCACGGCCTTTTTACGAGGTTTTACAGTGTTAGCTCCGCGTTTCAAAAAGTCCTATCCCCGGAGACGGAAATCCGTTAGGTAAGGTTAGGTGTGACATTTTTTGGGGTCGACCTTTTCTAACCCTTCCTTCCTTGTGACAAGGCAGCATCACTGCAGATGCTAGTTGTCTGAGGGAAACACCTTACTGCTGTCACACTCCTCTGCAGTCACCATTACGACTTCTCCCTCAGACCTTGAGTAGCTGCTTTTAATCTCATCGTTCTCCAATCGACCTGCCTGGCATGGTAGAACCTTCAGGAACATGTGTTCCAGCTAGTATAGTTCGGTTGGGTCATGATGATAAGCAAGCCCGACCACCACGTCAAGGTAGCAGCTACGGTCGGTCGATTGGAGAACGATGAGACTAAAAGCTGCAACTCAAATTCTGATGGCGGAGTCTTACTGCTGACTGTAGATAGGTGTGACAACCGTAAGGTGATTCCCTCGGACAACCAGCATCTTCAGCAATGCTGTCTGCGCACAATAGACAGAGGAGGTTGTAGAAGATCGACCCTAATAATGTCACACCTCACCTTACCTTACGAATTTCTGTCTCCGGTGGTAAGACTTTTTGAAATGCGGAGCTAACACTTTAAAACCTCATAAGAAGGCCGTGCGTGACCGGCCTCAAGCAGTTGTCCCTTGGGCTCTGCGGTCCCGCTCTCAGGTCTCTAGGACCAGTATCAATCCAATTTCCGTTTCAGGTTTCCCAAAATGTACCCTTCCATGATGTGGTCAGCTGGGTAGTGACGCCCACGCTCATACTCCTATCGGCACACGAGATCGACTCCGTCACGATCAAGATGTGACCCAACAGGATGGTCAGTCGATGACCATCAGAAATGTTCTGAAGGACGAATGCATTGCATCGGCCAAGAACTAGGTTCGTTCTCTAATGAGTATGGATGTAGCCAAATAGGCTCCGTCTTCCATGCCTGCCTTTTCACTCAAATAATCAGTTTTGTGGGGCTTAGAACGTATTGGTAGTCAGATCTTTCGTTCAACTTCATGTAAAACAAATCTGTCTTCGCAAGCCTCCTTAGTTAAATCAGATTACAATTTACCCATTTGAAATTGCAAACTGATCTTAGCTAGATTACTGTTAGAATCCTGAAAGTACTGGATGAATGTCTTGTCTCTGTATTGGAGTTCTCAGTAATGCACTTCTAAAGCCTTGGAGGCTTTATTGAACCCAAGACCTTCGGTCTTGATGAGCATTATTTAAATCACACTTGACGGAGAAGCTTTGGTGAATGTTGAAACTTTTGCATATCTGGGCAGCATCATTGATGACCACGGTGGATATGATGCAGATGTCAAGGCGCGGATCGGGAAAGCAAGGGGCAGCGTACTCAAAACAACCGCCTACCAACACCAAAGTCAGAATTTTCCATACAAACGTCAAGTAAGTTCTACTATAGGGGGCGGAAATTTGAGGAATCCCAAAGCTATCATACACAGGATGCAAATGTTTTTTCACAGTTATTTTCTCAAAATACTTCGGATAAGTCAGTTAGACACCATCAGCAACAACCTCCCGTGGGAAAGAACAAACCAGATGCCAGCAGACGAAGAAATCAGGAAGAAGCACTGGAAGTGGATAGGACACATACATTGTGGAAAGCACCCAACTACGTCACAACACAAGCCATCACTTGGAATCCTCGAGGCCAAAGGAAATGTGGAAGACCAAAAGACACATTGCGCTGGGAATTACAGACACACATACAGAAAATAAGTACCAATTGAAACAGAACTAGAAAAGAGGGTGTTGGGTTCGTCACTTGGTACGTTTGAAGCTATTACGAGTTCACCTTAGTCGATAAACGTGAACGAAACAATGAGCCAGCGTCCAGGTAGGCTACCTTGAATCCCAAGCTGTAAACAGAAGGTTTTGTAAGCGTAGAAAGTATATTCTACAAACACCCAGCAATCGCATTACAATCAAGCACACGAGTCTCATTTATTTATACATCATAGAAACGTCCTTGGGACAGTTACGAAAATAGCACACTAAACTACACAGCAGCCAATCACAGCCATGCATTCTCCTGGTGGGAAATAAAACCCCGAGGTCAACTGACTACCCCATGCTCGCAAACGTGAAATCCAAAACAAGCCATTTATCAAGTGAGTTCTGGGGACCTAACAACCCCAACAGAGGGCCCATGACTGAGTAGGAGGAGCATGCTGGTCGGCGGTCTATGCTCCATTTTTTTGGGGTGGGGGGTTAACAGGCGTACGTTAGTAAGTAAGTAGAATTGCAATTGTGTTTAGTTTCTTTTCTATTTGTCAATAAAGAAAAAAAGTGAATTCATTTTTAAATATGCTTTTTTTAATTCTCAATCTGTTCAAATTAGCATCCAGATGCTGTCAATCTAACTGGCAATGAATTAGATCAAAAAGATCAAATTGATAATGATCGATTGATGAATTATTTATTTCTATGTCTTCGTGGCGGTGATCTACGTCGTGTAAGCCAATGAGATTAATGGTTTCTAGCTCTTTATGCTTATTATTATTATTATTTTTGAGATGGTAGGGAAAATTTGTAGCTCAGATCGTTGATTGTGTGATGGAGTTTCGTTCTCTAAACTGGGGATGTTTTGGTTCTAAGAGCTTTTTCATTGTTCTTGTTACGCCTGCACATAAACACGTCAGCTTGATATACTTGAACTATTACGAGTTTACCTAGTCGGAAGATGAGAGCGAGGATCGAGGATCCGGTGACACGACATACTACTCAAATCCAAATATCCCAACCCCCATATTGAATAAAATAAGAAGACATGATATGAAGTAGAACGTGTATTCTAAAAGCATCCAGAAAGTACGAGGTCCGAATCCAGAAAAGAATCAGGATCTCGGGTCCTGGTCGTGGTCGTGAAATGTTACAGATAATGCGTATTTATACATTTTGGTCGAATAGGAAACAATATCGAATTCTGTGGCATTGACAGTTAAGTCGACCAATAGGAAGTAACATTTGAAATGACATTGACAGTCCGGATGACTAATAAGAGACAACATTGAAGTATTTGACTTTGACAGTTAAAACGACCATAATTTTGACCAATAGAAATCGACCAATAGAAATTGACCAATAATTCTCTTAGGATATTGGATGAATATCCTAACAGTTCTTCTATTGAACTATAACATCATCAACAGAAAACTTCAGGTAGAAGAAGTGAGGTATTCGAATTTCTACACGTATGACTTCGATCTTGATTTGGTATTTCTGACCTTAGAACTGTCGTTGTTCACACCTCTATATTGATTGTATCCGACTTAGATCTGTTCCTTGATTCTATGTTTGCCTATGATTTTTCTGATTGGTTGATAAATTGGGTCATTGTCGATGTGTTTGTTGATTGCTGATTTATCAGGATTTCAAGCTTTTAAAAAAATCTCTATTATTGTTTATACTTAGGCAAGATATCCGTTCTCCTATATGAATGCAAAACATGGCCGTTAAGAGCAGAAGATGTTCGTAGGTTACTAGTATTCGATCATAGATGTTTAAGAAGCATTGCTCGTAGATCGTGGGACAACCGAGTAAGCTATGCTGTCGTTAGGAAACGAGTTCTAGGTAAGGATGGCAGATCGATAGATGAAGTAGTGAGACTTCATCAGTTGAGGCGGTTGGGACATGTGTTACGAATGCCTAACCACCGACTGCATCCGACGAGCTATGTTTTGTGGTGTAGGAGTAGGTTGGAAGAAAGATAGGGGTGGCCAGACCAAAACATGGCAGAAATCCATGAAGTCACTGACAAGTGGACTGAGTCATGTTGGTAGATGTAGACTACCTGGTTGGGGTCAGCGAGACGAAAGTCACCAATGGTTAGAGATCTTGAATGACATGGCTCAAAATCGTTCGCTATGGCACTAGTGCATCCATTCGTTGTGTTCTCTCAAATCCTAATCTTCTGGATTCGTCAGCACCTCCACCTTTGTCTTTCTAACCTTATCTCACTGAATTATATTTTTTGAATAATATCTTAAACCCTAGTCTTCTTTATTATAACATTAATACCTCTACCATCTTTATCACTATGGGATTTGATTTGACATTTGCGTCTCTGTGCTAATAATGTGGTACGGCAACCTGAACTTATGTACATACGTACGAAGTTCTACGTTGCAACTGACTGACTGCCCGATTGTTTGTACTCCTTCTGTCCAGTATTTCCACATTGTTCCAGTCTTATGTCCTTACTTAAATGTATGTATTGATATAAGCGAAGAAATGTCATGGCGTTTGATTGCTAATTGTTGCTATTCATTTAAACGAAGCTGAAGAGGACGTCCACTGTGTTCGATGTAATGTTTTTCACGGTCTGATCAACTTATTGTTCAGATGATATTTGGTTTTTCTTCCTTTGTCATTTTGTCCTATGGTCTACAACATAGGATTGATTGAAGTGATTCTGTTGGTTTATGGGCTACACCTATTCCAAATGGTTTCAGTAATCATGCTGTAATTTGTGATATATCTTTCATAAAGAGTAGGATGATCCGTTTGTTGGTTCCTGTAAGATGGTTGAGAAAATTTATAGTCCAGGTAGATAGTTATGATGAAGTTTCGTTCTCTAAGTTGGGGGTGTTTTTGTTGTAAGAGCTTTTTCATTGTTCTTCTACTGAACTACAACATCATCAGCAGAATAATTCAGGTAGAAGAAGTGAAGTATTCAAATTTCTTCACGTGGAATGACTCTCAGCTTGTTCTGTTGACCTTGATCTTCGTTGATTGTTGTTCGTTTGTCAAACTTATTAAACTTCATCATCAGACTATTTCGCATTTTTGTTGGGTGCTACAAATGTTTATTTCGTTGTAAATAATGTTGAGGTTAGATTCAAGGTTGAACTGAAAAGAATTCAGTCAAAACAAGGTTGCAATTTCGTATTTACAATTGTTTGATAAATATATAAGTTTATGGTTAAGATACAAGTCAACAATCACTTCACTTGCAGCGATCCTGCCTTCTCACAACAAAGGAATGGTTAGAAAACGTCGACCCTAAAAATTTCACACCTCACCCTACCTCACGGATTTCCGTCTCCGTCGGTAAGGGTGCCCACTAAGGGCTTGTGGAGCTAATACTTTTTCATAAAAAGGCCATGCGTGACCGGCCTCAAGCAGTTGTCCCTTGGTCTCTGCGGTTACGCACCCAGGTCTCTAAGACCAACTCTAATATACCTTCCTTTTCAGGTTCCTTTAGAAACAACCTTCCACAGTGTGGGCAGCCGGGAAGTGACAACCGCCCTCATACCCATAACAGCACACGAGAGCAAATTGGTCGAAATCAAATCCTTCCTACACCAACACACACCTCTCTTATCTCCACGACTGTCTGTCACTTCACGAACTGTAGTGTCAAGTTTCAGTTGGTGGTGTTTTAAGCTTTCTTCCAATCTACTAATCCTACATTAGGTTGCAGCATGCATCGAGATAGGCAATGGTTGTAAGTGTCATGAAACACTTGAACACCGTCATAGTCAATAAAGATTCCCTATGAATCATTGTATTTGATGACATCCTTGCTTAGTACTCTTATTATTGTTCACTGACTGGTCCAAACATATGTGAACAATGTTTTTCAAGGGTATCTGTGAATAAACAAGGATGTATGCACAACAAGTAGAACAGTTACATAGTCGATAATAAAAAGATACGATACGATCCAATCAAGTGTAACAATTTTATTCAATGATCAGTCTTATTTGACAGCCTCCAGTATTTCATGAACTAATTAGACAGATCGTACACATTTGTTAGATTAAAATTGGGAAAAAAACTACGATTTACCATTCAGTTGTTTTTTGGTTTAGGCTCAACTTCTTTGTACACAACGTGGTGAATTTTGGCGTGCTATTTCACTTGAAGGTTGGCGACCATTTCATTATTCCGGATTTTTGGAAAATGAATCAAATCAATATGAAGTATTGAAAAATGCTGATGAAAATATTACCGCGTCTAAATCATTTCAAATGAAATTTATCGCTGAAGGGAATCCAACTCGTATTTTGTATAAATCTGTATGTTGGTGGAATGCAGAAAATGTAGGTTTTGTTTTACAGTCGATGTCATTCCGTTCAACTGCAGTGACAATGAAATCTGTTATCTTTCTCTGAATTGTGTGTCGTCCCCTGAACTGTTGATAGGGAGTAAAGCTGTTGAGCGTGTTGACCGCTTCACCCTATAATGGGAGTGTCTCATCAGTGCTGATGGTCTGGTGTGTGATGAAATCTCAGCACGGATACAGAGAGCTCGATTGGTTTTTGCCAACTTGCGTCGTTTATGGCATAGGTGAGATATCTGTTTGTTAACTAAAGGACGAGTTTACTTTGAAGCAGTTCGATCCGTCGGTGAGAGTAGAGGATATTCGTAGGTTATTAGTATTCGATTATAGATGTCTTCGAAGCATTGATCCTGTATCCTGGGACAACCAACTAAGCAATGCTATAGTTAGGAAACGAGTATTAGGTAGGGATGAGAAAGTCAATAAATGAAGTATTGAAACTCCAGTTGAGATGGTTAGGACGTGTTATGAATGCCCAACCACCGACTGCATCGATGAGGGACGTTTTGAAGTGTAGGCGTAGGTTGGATAAAAGCTGGAGGCAGCCAAATCAAAACATGGCAGAAATCTATGAAATCACCGACAATTGGACTGAGTCATGTTGGTAGATGTAGACTACCTGGTTGGGGTCCTCGAGTTGAAAGTCACTGATGTTTAGAGACCTTGAAAGACATGGCTAAAATTGTTTGGAATGGCGCAGGTGGATTCATTCATTGTGTTATCTGAAATTCTACACTTTTAAATTCCTCATCATCTCTATGTTTCTCTTTCTAAACTTGTCTCACTGAATTATACTTCTTGAATAATATCTTTAAATCCTAGTCTTCTTCATTACCATTAATACCTCTACTATCTCTATCACTATGAGATTTGAACTGACATTTATGTCTCTGTGCTAATGTGGTATGGCAGTATGAACTTATGTACGTATGTACGAAGTTATACGTTGTAACTGACCGACTAACTATTACTTACTTAATTGCACCTGTCATCCTAGATAGAGCTTAGACCGCCGATCATTTCTAGTTAGCATTTTTTTTCTCTGAGTTTATACTCTCTATGGAATATGTTTGGTAACCCTATGCCCACTCCTCATCCTTTATCCGGGCTTAGGACCGGCAGTAATCCAGGAAAAAGGCTCCAGTCAGAGTTACTATCTGAATCTGTATTCAAATTCTATGCTTTATACAACGTATAAATATTGGAGTACTCTAGTGTATCAATGATTATGTTATGTTTCAGTTAACCACAATTCATTTATTACAAATTTTATAATCAGTTTCTATTTTTGAAAAAAACAAACAAACATTTTCTTTGTGTCATATTGAAAAGTTTTATTGATTAATTGATTGACTGATTTTTCTTCACAAACAAAAACTTTATTTACCATTCATATCCATTCATACAGATCAAATTACGTTCATTTGAACGTGCAATTTATGCTACATTATCGGGGAATTTAAATGTCCTATCGAAAATTTTACCAGCTTCATGGACAGATCAAACATGGGCACATTGTCGTGCTTTAGTCGAAGCACGTGTTGATTCTAGTCTACGTAGTTTATTGAATACTGGTCCTAGAGCTGATACATTAGTAAGTGAAAAGAGAATGAATGCTCTTGTTTTGCTCTGTTTTTGTTATATTTTGTAGTTTGAAGTGGTATACTTCTGTCTGGCTTAGGGTGGTCTGTTAGGTTCGTCACTAGGTATGCTTGAAACTATTATGGGTTCATTTTAGTCGATAAACGCAAACGAGACAATGATGAACCAGCGTCCAGGTAGGCTACTAAGGAAAAGTCTTGATGTAGCGTAGAAAGTGTATTCTATGAGCACCCAAGAAGCACAATGCAATCAAGCATACAAATATCGTTTATTTATACACCGTAGAAACGTCCTTGGGACAGTTATGAAAATAGCACACTAAAATAGCACAGCAGCCAATCACAGCCATGGATTTTCCTGGTGGTGGGAAATGAAATCTCAAGGTCAGCTGATCAGCTTATGCTCACAAACGTGAAATCCAAAATAAGGTATTTATCCTTCGAGTTTTGGGTATCTAACGTCCCCAACATGGACTTAGCCATGTTAGTATGTGTAAGCTACCTGGTTTAGGTCTGCGAGACAAGCGTAACCGATGATTAGAGACTATGAGTGATATGGTTGAAAATCGATTGCGCGATGACGTAGATGCATCCATTGATTGTCCTCTCTCAAATTCTAGTTTTATGAGCTCTGTTCTCGAATGATATCCTCGATCGTTAATCTTTTTGATTACTAATGCTACTACTACTGTCGTGTACGCTACTTATGTTCTCATAACTAGCATATGATATCAAACGGAAATCAAACGTGTGACAGCAGAAGATCGAGAAGGAAAGAATGAGAACAGAAGGCGATTTGTAGGTAACATAAAGTAAACTGAAGTCTGAACAGTCTAAATGAAAGAACACTGAAATCTGAAACAAATGAGGATTAGTTTGTAAATGATGATTTCACAGGAAGGTTTTGTACATATGCTTAACAACTCTGTAATATTCGCTTAAAGATAAATGTTGATGTCCTCACCTGAGTTTTCTTGCACAACACTACTACTACTGTGGTGTGAGCTACTTATAAGTAGTATATGACGTGAGCGTCAACGTAATGTCTGGCAGCCGAAGATGGGGGAAGATCAAGAAAGGAAGAGTTAGAAAACAATCGAATTTGTATGAAACGCATGAATAGTGACAATGGATTGATGTTTTGCAACAGGAACAGTCCAGTTCGATATGATGAACTGTTATTTTGCAAATGAACGATTTACGATATGGTTTTCCGATTTTACTGAGTAACTCTGTAATTTTCGTTCAATACAATTCGGTTGCCCCACCTGTGTTCTCATTCACTACACTACTATGTGATTTGAATTGATAGTTCAATCGCTGTGTGCTAATCTTGTATGACAACTTGAACTAACTAACTGACTAACTTTGCACTGGGTGATTTGATTGATAATACGAAACCTCCCACCGTACTCTTCCGTCTGAGTATTGTATCCTGGTGATACCTGGTTGAAAAGTTTGTTTCATTTCTCTGTTGTTGTTTCGTTGCTTGTTTGTGATTCATCTAATTTCATCCTTTCAATTATTATTACCCTTATTATCATTCATCATATTTAGGCTGTAACTGGAAAATCATCAAAATACTGGCCATTAGATGGTGGTTTAAGCTTGCCCGAATCTGCATGGACACCAGGTGATTGGACATTGTCCAATGTATTTGCACGTGTTGATGCCCGATTAGGTTGGTCTGCGATTGGTTGTTTAGAAAAATGTCATCAGCATTTACGCATGAAATCCATTGATCGTTCTGTAATGAATGATTTCCTCTTAATGGATGATATTTCTTATACTGGCGAAAACAATGATGTGAACGAGGATGCACATCAACCACAACAAACACCTTCTATATATGCTATAGTCTATTGTATTTTCTATGGTGTACAACAAACAATTATGTTGAAAAATTATAATGGTAAGTTTTGTTAATTAGTATTATTGGATAAACAATTTTTTAATCTTTTCGTTTGGAATCCAAGCCCAGTGGTCCGGAGGTCCAGGCTTCGAATCCTGTGAGGTGTATGACTCGTGGATGCACACTGCCACTGATGAGTCCTATACTAGGACGAAACGGCTGTCTTTCAGTGTTTCCAGGTGTCTAATGGTCGTCTAACAATGATTGATTCATGATTTCAATGTGCAAATATTCTGTATGGGCGGCCAAACCAAAACATTACAGAAATCCATGAAGTCACTAACAACTGGACTGAGTCATGTTGCTAGGTGTCGAGTACCTGGTTGGCGCCCGTGAAATGATAGTAGTCGATTGTTAGAGACCCTGATTGACATGGCTCGAATCAGTTTGCGATTACTCAGGCGCCTCCACCCTTTGTTTTGTTTCAAATTCTAATTTTTTGAATTACTCGTCATTTTTAACTTTTTCTTTTTACGTTTATTTCATTAAATTCTACTTCTTGAATAATATCGTCGAACCTCCTAATCTCCTCGATTATTGCTAATACACCTTTACTACCTCTACTACTATAGGATTTCAATTGTCTTCGGTCGGTAACTAACTACCTCATATCCAAAACGGTTGAACTCCACTGATCACAATTTCTCATTAGTACACACGCGTGACTAATAGCTTTTTGAAGCAATTCTTGGAGTTCTAGTTGAAAGCCGTAATTGATGAAGTTCAACCGCATTGAGCAGTAGTCACCCACCGAAGACAATGGATCAGGTCGCTCAATATCGTGGATTGATTGAAGCTAGAAATTAATATCGCTGGATTATCGGTTCATTGGTCAAGCGATTAGGCTTTTGCGTGAGAAACTGATCTTGGTATTTGTATTTCTTTGATCAAGTGGTGATTACGTATAAGTGAATACTGAAAGACTGATATGTACGTATGTCTTAATTGTCTGTTTGCATTGATTGTTACGATTCCTGTCTGAAGTTAGATACAGTTTTAATGAATTTATCTTAACAGCCGACCTTTTTTGCCATCTTCTTAAGATTTCATTCTCAGGTTAGTTAAGTAAATAAATACAAGTAGCTGTCCAGATGCCTGAACGGAAACACGTGATTTTCTCTGGGAACAACCACTCACTAAAAGTTTGACTAGCGGGTCTAATCCACAAGGCAGTGGAGCAGTATCAGGTGATGCAGTCTCTCATAGTTACCGATGACTTACAAATAGGTTCATACACCATGTGTTTCGTCAGCATCGTGGAGTTCATTGGCACCATTGATGTTGGTGCCATATGAAGGCATTTTGAGGAGGATGAGAGAGCTCTGCTTTTTCTCGCCCGTTTGTGGGGATTTGGTCAGTTAGTCAGCTACAACGTAGGACTTCGTACGTACGTACATCACTTCAAGTTGCCACACCACATTAGCACAGAGGCGCAATTGTCACTTCGAATTCCATGGTAGGAGAGGTAGTAGAGGTATTAACAGTAATCAGAGAGATTAGGGTTCAAGGATAATATTCAAAAAGTAGAATCTAATGAAATAAACTTTAAAAGAAATAGATAGTGATGATGAGGGATCCAGAATGTTAGGATTTGAGAGAGCACAAAGAATAAATGCACGTGCGCCATTGCAAACGATTTTGAGCCATGTCATTCAGTGTCTCTAACCATCGATTATTATCATCTCGCGGACCCCAACCAGGTAGTCGACAATTACCGACATGGCTAAGTCCACTTGTCAATGACTTCATGCATTTCTGCCATGTTTTGGTCTGGGCGCCTCTAACTTTCTTCCAACCTACTCCTACACTACAAAAACAAAGCTCGTCGAGGCAGTCGGTGGTTAGGCATACGTAACACATGTCCGAACCACCTCAATGATGAAATTTCATTACTTCATATATTGATCTGCCATTCTTACCTAGTACCCGTTTCCTATTAACAGCGTTGCTCACTCGGGTGTCCCAGGATATACGAGCAATGCTTCGAAGACACCTATAATCGAAAACCAGTAACCTACGAATATCTTCTAATTCTTTTTATTGAATATATTTAATATTTATCAGTTAAAATATTCTTACTTTTATTATCATTTGTATATCCATTCATTTTATTCAATGTCCAATAGATTCAATATTCAATTTTTCTATCCGTTTGTTTTCTTCTTATTTTCACCAGCTTTTCTTGTAACTTTATCAAATCTAATGCCAAAATTAGTATGTTATGGTTTAGGTGATGAGATTGTCCCAGACGTGATACCATTACAACCGCCAAATTTAAATAAAATTGGTCAAATCAATCAAATTGTTTGTCATACTCTACGATTCTTGACACATTTTGTTTTGTTTTTAAAATCTGCTGATTCGGATATTTTGGTAATGAATATTATTTTTAATATTGATTTATTGTTTAAAATTTAGAAATCTGGTTATGTACATATATATGGTTTGTTGTTATTAGTAGTATTATTTTAAGTATTATTGAAACTATAAACATAAGTAGATTATTTTTAGATGATTATTATTGATGACTTTACTGTAAAGGAACTTTCTAATATTTAATCAGATATCCCCCCCAGTCGGAGTAGAAGATATTCGTAGGTTACTGGTGTTCGATCGTAGATGTCTCCGAAGCATTGCTAGTCTATCCTGGGACAACCGAGTAAGCAATGCTGTTATTAGGAAACTGGTGCTAGATAATGATGGCAGGTCAATAAATGAAGTGGTGGATCGTCATCAGTTAAGGTTGTTGGGACATGCTTTACGAATGCTTAACCACCGACTGCCTCGACGAGCTATTTTTTTTGTTTACGATTAGGCTGAAAGAAAGCTAGGGGCGGCCAAACCTAAACGTGGCACAAATCCATGAAGTCACTGACAAGCGGACTGAGTCATGTTGGTAGATGCAGACTACCTGGTTGGGGTCTGTCGGACAAAATTTTAACCAATGGTCCGATACCTTGATTGACATGGGTCAAAATCGTTTGCAAATGGTGCAGGTGCATCCACTCTTTGTGGAATTCTAATCCTCACAATTACTCACCACCTCTACCTTTGTCTTTCTAACCTTATCTCACTGAATTACACTTCTTGAATAATATCTTCGAACCTTACTCTCTTAGATTCCTGCTGATAATTCTACTATCTGTAGCACAACGAGATTTGAACTGTAAATTGCGTCTCTGCGTGCTTAAAACATGCTAGTTGATCGATATTGTGTGCTGCCTAGAGAGTCTTGTTTCCGTATCGATATTGTTATAGGTTTTGTAAACCTTTCCTTACCGCCTCCTTTAAACTTTTCTGAATTCCGATTTTGTTAACGTTTTAATCTCTGATTCTAATCTTACACAATCTAATTGATAATACTGATATTTGCATTCAATATCAATAGTTATTTCTATTGTTATGTGTAACTGTTCCTATCCATCAACTGATTATGTAAATTCATCCTAGTTCTCGTTTTAATCTTTTAAACGTTACATAACTAACTATTATGCTCGTTAAATCATCTCATCTGCATCATCAGTGTGTGCTGTTAGGAGTATAAGGGTGGTCGCCCACACCGTAGAAGGGTACTTCTTCAGGAACCTGAAAAGGAAGTTGGGTAGGCGTTGGTTTTAATGACCACCTGGGAATGTGACCGTTGAGCCTAAGACTACCGCTTAAGGCCGGATCACACATGACCTTTTTACGGAAAGTTTTTGAAGTGTTAGCTCCGCTATTCAAAAGGTGTTACCACCGGAGACAGAAATCCGTGGGTTTAGGTGAGATGTTGCATTATTAGGGTCGATCTTCTATAACTCCTTCCTTCCGTTATGAAAAGACAGCATCGCTGCAGATCGTTGTTTGTCCTAGGGAAAAACCTTACTGCTTTCACAACCCGCCATAGTCAGCAGTACAACTCCGTTCTCATACCTTGAGTTGCTGCTGCTTTTAGTCATACCGTTCTGCACTCGACCTACCTGGCATCGTAAGTCTAATTGAAATATCTGTTCCAGCTAGTATAGCTTGGTTGAATCATCATGAAAGACAAGCTCGACCACCATATCAAGGTAACAGCTTTGGTCGGGTCATCATGATTATCATCATCTAATTGATATTAACTTTCTTACTTATTCGTAAAATAAATTGAAATGTAATATTTCTATACTTAAGCGATCTTTTCAATTGTTCATCAGTTATATTTTCACGGTTATCATTAAGTTAGTTTGATTATTTGTATGCTTTTTGAGTTTTTTTTTAACTGACTTCTCTCTTTCCACTTTCTCTCCCTCTCTTCTATTAGGATGAACCATGTGCTGAAATTATTAAAGCTTATTTATGCTTTTTAATTGTCAACAAAGAAATTGATTTAATTGCTTATTATATTTCTACACTGTCCAATGAATCAGTACAAATTCAATGGTATTCATGGTTTTTAACAGGTATATTCTCTTTTCCCCTTCTCCCCTTAAAGATATTTATTTGTATATAATATATATATATATATATATATATATATATATATCAGTAAGAACAAGGTTTCAAGAGACCAAGAATGACGTTTCGTGAACTCGCATCGTTTGCATGAGAGGTGCAGTCAGATAATGGAATGTGAGTAGAGTTAGTTGTGGAGAGAAAAGAGGAATGCGTGGGTGTAGGGAGGATTTGATTTCGACAAATTCGACCTCTCGTGCTGTTACGGGTATGAGGGCGGTTGTCACTCCTCGGCTGCCCACACCGTGGAAGGTTGTTTCTTGAGGGACCTGAAAGGGAAGAAAGATTAGTGTTGGTCTTTAAGACCTGGGAGCGTGACCGCAGAGTCCAAGGGATAACTGCTTGAGGCACGGCCTTTTTATGAGAGGTTCCTTGAGTATTAGCTCCGCTCTTGATTAAAAGGCCTTACCTCTGGAGACGGAAACCCGTGAGGTAAGTTGAGGCGTGACATTTTTAGGGTCGACCTTTTCTAACCCTTCCTTCCTTGTGAGAAGGCAACATCGCTGCAGATGGTGGCTGTCCGAGGGAAACACCTTACTGCTGTCACACCCCTCTGCAGTCAGCAGTAAGATTTCGACCTCAGACCATGAGTAGCTGCTTTTAGTCTCATCGTTCTCCAATCGACCTGCCTGGCATATATATATATACATATATATATATATATATATATATATATATATATATATATATATATAATGTTGAATTAAAACTACTTATCACCTACCTACCTGTTACTACTCCTCATAGAGCATACATAGGTCAGCATAGGCCAACCTACGCTGTTCTTGGTCTTCTTTTCCAGTATTGTCCAATTGTTGTTCATTCTTTTCATGTCTACTTTTTATTCTGTGTGTGTGTTGTGTTTTTTTGGCCTTAAGGATTCCATGTGAAGGCCTATTTTATGATGTTTTTAGGTGATTTCCTCAATATGTGTCCCATGTGCCTCCAGAGGTTCCCCCTGATATTTTCTTCAGTTGGAATCTGATTGGTTCTCTTCCACAATACGTCGTTGCTGATGGTGTCTGAACAATGGATCTAAAGCATTTTGTGTGAACAACTGTTAATAATCACTTATGTGTTGTGTATGATGGCTTTCGTAGTTCTCCAAGTTTCCGCTTCATATAGTAGAACTATCTTGACATTTGTATTGAAAATTCTCATTTCGTTGTTGGTTGATAGTTGTTTTAAGTTGTAGAAATGCTGATCTTGTTTTCCCGATCCGCACCCTCATATCTGCATCAGATCCATCTCGCTCATCAATGAGGCTGCGCAGATATGTAAAAGTTTCTATGTTTTCCAAGGCATTTCCACCAAGTGGGATTTACTTGGTGCATGTTGTGTTGTAGCGTAGGATCTTACTTTTCCCCACGTGAACGTGGAGACCTATTGCTTTAGAGGTATTGTACTAAAATGTTATTGTGAAAATAAATTGATTTAACATTTTTAACAAGATTTCAATGTGTACTGTATGTGAATCATTAGTAAAATGTCATTGTTACCATTGATTAGTCAAGATTGACAATGAAGATTAGAATGTGCACTTCTTTTCCTCAATATTGAACCTGTCAGCTGAAGAATTTATTTGTGTGTCAGAATTGATTGATTTTTTTTCCTGAAGCTCTAATCTGCCTGACTATTCAGATTTACTAGCCTTAAAACGGTTAAACTAAACACTACTGGGGTTTTTGTCCACTCAATTCACTGGACATTAAAAACCTGGAAGCACTAAAAGACGGCGTTTTTATCCTGATATGGCGATCATCAACAGTGCCCATCCGCGACTACCTCGATAAGCTATGTTTTGTGGTGTAGGATTAGGTTGGATCAAAGCTAGAGTCAGCTAAATCAAAAAGTGGCAGAAATCCATGAAACCACTGATAACTGGACTGTGTTATCTTGGGGGGGGGTCCGCAAGACTAAAGTCACCGATGGTTGGAGACGTTGAATGACATGGCTCAAAATCGTTTGCAATGGCTCAAGTGCATCCACTCTTTGTGTTTGATGGAATTCTAAGCTTCTACATTCCTCATAATCTCTATCCTTCTCTTTCTAAAGTTATTTCACTGAATTATACTTTTCGAATAATATCTTGGAATCCTTATCTTCTTCATTTCCATTAATACTGTTACGTTTGTCACTAGATACGCTTGAAGGCTATTACGAGTTCACCTTAGACGATAAACGCGAACGAGACAATTACCAGCGTCCAGGTAGGCTACCTTCAATCTCAAACTGTAAAACAGAAGTCTTGATAAGCGTAGAAAGTATATTCTACAACACCCAGCCAGAAGAATTCATTCAAGCATACAACTCTCGTTTATTTATACATCATAGAAACGTCTTTGGGACAGTTACCAAAATAGCACACTAAAATACACAGCAGCCAATCACAGCCATGGATTTTCCTGGCGGGAAATGAAACCCCAAGGTCAACTGATCAGCTTATTCCGGCAAACGTGAAATCCAAGATAGGGTATTTTTCAAGCGAATTCTGGGGATCTAACGTCCCCAACAAATATTTCTACTATCTCCACCTCCGTGAGATTTGAACTGACGATTGTGTCTCTATGAGCTATGTGGTATGGCAATCTGAATTGATATACGTACTTACGAAGTTCTGCGTTGTAACTGACTGACTAACTAACTCATGCTACTCACAGGGCTCGATCCCAGGATCTTCGTTCCTGCCCGCGAACGCTTAACCTCTGAGCTGATCTCATCTACCGCTGTCCAATTTAAAGATTTTGTGCACCCTGACTCATTGTTTTCAGTAGATAACTGCCCTTAAACTCGAATAGAATTGAACGCGCCTCCTCACAACTCGGAGAAACGTCCTCAGGAATCCAGTCACTAGTGAATACATTTTATGAATTTTGCACTACAGAATTATGGCAATGGTCGATTTTACACATTGAAATCATGGATGCAAAAAAAAGTTACTAAATAAGTTCACATTTTTGAAACCATGAATCGATCAATGTTAGACCACCATTAGAAACCTGGAAGCACTGAAGGACGGCCGTTTCGTCCTGCTATGGGACTTATCAGCAGTGCGCATCCACGACTACTGCATCCCGCAGGACTCGAACCCAGGACCTTCAGTATTGTGCGCGAACGCCCTAACCGTCAGACCACTGAGCCGGTGTTAATGTCTAACTTGATCAAATTCACGGAGTTGCGCATCCTCATACACAGTCTTCGATCGACACTGCCTACACCCGAACAGGTTGAACTTCACTGGTTACCACTTCCCACTAGAACTCGGGGAGAAGATTCTTCACGAAGCTAGTCACTATTGAGCACAGGTAATTTGCATTACGGGGTTGTTGTGAAGATTGTTAAGTTCACTCGATCGCCTAATGATTTGCTTCTTTCTTTTTCTTATTTTTTCCCCCGTTTAGAAATTCATCAACCTATGGAACGTGAACATTGTTTATCATTAGCTGTGAATTATGGATTTAATTTATCCAAATTAACAAGATCAATTGTGAAATTATCTAAACAACGAATTGATTTATGCATGAATCAACAATATCCATCACATCCTGTGAATTCACATGGATTCTTGTCGAAACAACAATCATCATCCATCTTAATGAATGAAATGGAATTCTTCACAGGTTTATTACATAATACTAACAACAATATGAGTAGTAATAATAATAAATATGAAATTGGCAAATTAACCGATTTAGATAAACAACGTATCATTGCATTGGATTGGTTATTTTATAATCCAGAACAACGTGGTGAAGCTTTATGCTTAGCAAATAGTTTGTTAAGAGTTTTTATAGCTATGCATTCGTTTAAATCAGCGCAACAAGTACGTTATATATATGTATATATATATATATATATATATATATATATATATATTTGTAAAGTTCTTTTGTGCATGCGCAATATCCTACATCCAAGCGTTAATACGTTCTAGCTGCCGCGACGAGCTATGTTTTTTGCAGTGAAGGAGTAGATTGGAAGGAAGCTAGGGGCGGCCAAACCAAAACATGGTACAAATCCATGAAGTCATTGACAAGTGGACTGAGTCATATGTTGGTAGATGTAGACTACCTGGTTGGGGTCCGCGAGATGATAGTCACCGATGGTTGGTGACCTTGAGTGATATGGCTCAGAATCGTTTGCAATGGCGCAGGTGCATCCACTCTTTGTGTTCTATAAAATTCTAAGCTTCTGCATTCCTCATAATCTCCACCTTTCTCCTTCTAAATTTATCTTATTGAATTATACTTCTTGAATCATATCATATCTTCGCTCCCTAATGTTCTCCATTACTGCTAATATTTCTATTATTGCTATCACTCTTGGATTTGACAATACGTGCTAACCTCTTAAAAATGTATTATTTAAATGCGAAAGCGAGAATAAAAAGCCAAAGTTTATTTGGTATTATTGAATAATACAAACTTCCAAATAAAGTGTAAGCATGTCTTTGATATGTTGGTCACGTGATATACTGGAAACTATTGCGAGTTCACCTTAGTTGATAAACGAGAGCGAAGACAAATGATCCAGTGACACGATAGGCTTCTCTAATCCGAGCGACCCAAGGCCCCATTTAAGTAGGGGAAGAAGTCTTGACACAACGTAGAAAGTGTATTTTACAAGCATCCGGAAAATATAATGTTTCCAAACACACACACACACACAACCAATAACGGTCAAGAATATTCCTGATTCCGTACGAACAGTACACTTAGGCCCTAGGATTCTGATTGGAACAAATGGCGTATGAACCTACTATCGGTCACCAATGAACATGTGACTTCAGCTCTTTCTGACATGACTCCACTTCCTTGTGGTGTAGACTTGTATATCCAAAGGTTGATTGATTGTTCATAGGTATGGTTGTATGCGGTTGATAAATAATCACGAACTATAATTGAATTCATACAATAATCTCCATAACTCTAATTGAAAATATCGTAAAATGTGCTCATTAGTGACTAGCTTCGTGAGGAAATTCTCGGAGTTCTAGTTGAGAAGACGTGACCAGCGGAGTTCAACGCTGCCGGGCGTAGGCAAAGACAAATGGGTGAGGTCGCGCAAAATCCGTAGATCAATCAGATTGGAGACATTAACACCGTTGGATGCCGGCCTAGTGGTCCGATTGTTAGGCGTTCGCGCACAATACCGAAGGTGCCGGGTTCGAATCCTGAGAGGTTTAGGAGTCGTGAATGCCCACTGCTGATGAGTCCCATACCAGGACGAAACGGCCATGTTTCAGTGCTTCCAGGTTTCTAATGGTGGTCTAACAATGATTGATTGGTGATTTTAAATGTGTAAAATCACTCATCCCCATAACTCTAATTGAAAAAAAATATATATGTCACTGATTATTGTTGGTTATGTTCAACTTTCTTCGACATCTTTCCATTGTTAATCAACGGATAATGACTTGTCATACTGTAGTGAAGGAGAACACAGGTGAGGACAACCAAATTGTATTTATCGGAAATTTCAGAGTTAATCAGTAAAATAGGAAAACCATATCGTAAACGGTTAATTTGCAAATCTTCAATCCATCATCAATCCATTGTCTGACATTTCACTTATTCATGCGTTTTATACAAATTCCATTGTGTTCCCACTCTTCCTTTCTTGCTTCATCTTCCCCCATCTTCTGCTGCCAGACATTACGTTTTCACTCGCGTCATATACTACTTATAAGTAGCGCGCACCACAATACTACATAGTTCTGAGTCCTGCAGTCCGGTCACATGATCTCACCGGACAAATCAGTTCCGTATCACATACTATGGTTTCGGTACATATTCGCCAAGTTGTTGTGTAGATGTAGTTTGAGCTTTTTAAGGAAATTAAATCTTGCTTTCATTCAACTGACTTATCAGTTATAATCATTACTTTTATTATTATTATTATTATTATTATTATTATTATTTTTGAAGGTTCTATCCAAATTACCTGTTGGTACATTGGAACATGCTAAACTAATCTGTGAAAAATTGAATTCACCTGATTGGCTTGTGAATACAATTCGTGAACATGAATGTTTGATATTATATTTAGAAAGTCGGGTTAGTTTATTATTATTATTATTATTATCATTATTAATATTATTATTATTATCATTATTCTAAACACTATTATATCGATTTGCAGTTTTGTTGTACACTTACTGTCTAAAATATATGCTTGGATAATATTTTGATGCCTAGCTAGATTTCGTGAAGAGCAGACTCGAGAAAATGAGGGTGCATTCAGATCTGCAAGTGGATGTATGGACCAGATATTCACACCTCGTCTGGTTCTGGAACATTTTGGCTCTCCACAATTGTAATATTCTTCGACTTTGAGGCGGCATTTGACTCTGTTGATCGTGAGGTTCTATGGCAGTGTCTGTCATGAGGGATTTGAATTTAAAATTGCATTTCTGTATGGTACTGATGTACGTACATACTAAGTTCTACGTTGTTGCTGACTGACTGAGTGTCTGTTATCGAAAGGTTTATCAAAGAATTACATTAACATTAATACAAGCTCCCTCTACTCGAGCACTACTGGTTGAGTTAGAAACTTATGACGAACTGTCAGTCGAAATCGATTCCTTCAAGTCATGTTTCGTTAGGGCTGAAACATAGTTCTACTTAGTGAAGACGCTAATAAAAATGCAAATTCTTCTTACCACTTTGAGCTACAATGCACGCATGTTGGGGATGCAATTTTCCCCCATAGAAATACAAAGTATTGTTTCAAGGTTGATTGGCTTGCATCGGCACCTGAACTAATGATAGAGAGTGAAGCAGTCGAGCGTGTTGATTTGCACTTCAACTTGTCATAAATTGATTCGAATTGCAATAATGGAAATTTTACAAACTTTTCCATAAGGTCGCCTTCTAACTTCTTGACGATTCACAAATAATAGTTTTAAAGAGTCATGATAGAAAATATTCGTTCACTTGTGCGGTTTTAAGTATTATGTCATGTAAAATACTGCCCTCAGCTCTCTCTGATCAAAAATGCTTGCAGATTGATTGTCATTGTATCAATATGGATTGTGTATTTGAATTGTCACTGAGTGTGTTTCCATCTTGTTGGTTACGAACATCTCCGTAGGCATATCAATTTTGTCTTATATATTATAACGTTAGATAACGCTTCAAAACGTGATAGAGTGATGTCATGTATTTTTCCTAGTGGTCTGGTCACTGCTTCCTACTTGCCTCTATACCACAAATCATCGCTCATCGAAGCAGCTCAATTTTATCTTTTTGAGAATTTATTTCACTGGATTATACTTCCTGGAACATTATCTTCGAACCGTGATCTTCTTAATTACCGCTATTACTTCTACTGTAGTATTCTAATTGAAAATTGTATCTCTGCGTGTTACAGACAGACAGATACAACGCAGAACTCCGTATATTAGTACATCAGTTCAGGTTGCCATACCACTTTAGCACAAAGACGTTACTACCATTTCAAATCCAAGAGTGATAGCGATAGTAGAATTATTAGCAGCAACCAGATAGCCTACATCTACCAACATGATTCAGTCCACTTGTCAATGACTTCATGGATTTCCGCCATGTTTTGGTCTGGCCGCCCCTAACTTTCTTCCAACCTACTCCTACACCACAAAACATAGCTGGTGGCGGCAGTCGGTGGTTAGGCATACGTAACACATGTCCCAACCACCTCAACTGATGAAGTTTCTCTACTTCATCTATTGGTTTGCCATTCTTCCCTAGATCTCGTTTCCTAACGACAGCATTGCTTACTCAGTCGTCCCAGGATACACGAATAATGCTTCGGATACACCTATGATCGAAGACTACGAATGTCCTCTACTCTTAACGGCCATGTTTCTCATCAGTATAGTAGGACAGAGCGAACTGCTGTGGAGTACACTCGTCCATTGGTTAACAAGCGGATGTCTCGCCTATGCCATATATGACGGAGGTTGGCAAAAGCCAATCGAGCCTTCTGCGATTTCGTCAGTCACCAGGCCATCAGCATCTGTGTGCTACTGTGGTATGGCAACTTGAATAGACGTACTTAGGTACTATATTCTTCATTGTAGCTCACTGATTGACTGACTGACTTACAATAAAGCTACTGAATTATGTCTTCGATCTCTAATCTCCTCTATTACCTTGTATGGTATTTGAATCCACAAGCATATCTCTGTATGATAATATTGTATACCCCGTCGAACCCTAATCTTCTCCATTACTGCTAAGACTTCTACTGTCGCTGACTGTTCCGTCTCTGTGCTAATGCAGTTCGGCAACCTGAACTTACGCACGTAAGTACGAAGTTCTACGTTATAACTGACTGACTGACTGACTGACTGAATGTTGTATGGCGACTTGAACTGATTGATGTACCTACTATGTTCCATATTGTAAGTGACCGACTAATTGACTGACTGACTAACAATAAACTGTTAGTTTTATCTGTTTGCCTTCATTTTATATCATTTACTTGTGTCCTATCTGCTTTCTATTTATTTAAAGGATGCATTTGCTGATTGGTATCAACAAGTACACAATAATCGACCTGTACAACCATCAATACTCATCAACAATCATAATACTAATACTAATCATCATCATCATCATCTTACACATACCACATATGGTCCTCGAGGTTTAGCTCAACGTCTTGTTATTGAGGAATCGAAAAAAGACTATTTAGCTCGTCTTGAACGTTGGCGACATGATACACGTTTAGATACAGAGGTTAGTTAATTGGTTATGATAAAAATTGGATTGTGCCTTTCTCTTTGTTTTATTCGTGTATATATGTGTGTGTGTTGGGGATGTTAGATCCCCAAAATTCGCTTGATAATGCCGTATTTTGGTTTTCACGTTTTGCCAGCATGGGCTGATCAGATGATCTTGAGATTTCAATTCCCACCAGGAAAATCCATGGCTGTGATTGGCTGCTGTGTATTTTAGTATGCTATTTTCTTAACTGTCTCAAGGACGTTCTTATGTTGTATAAATAAACGAGAGTTGTATGCTTGATTGTACTGTGATTGCTGGGTGTTTGTAGAATATACTTTCTACGCTTACAAAGCCTTTTCACTTCAGCCTCGGATTCAAGGTAGCCTCCCTGGAAGCTGGTAAAAGTCTCGTTCGCGTTTATCGACTAAGGTAAACTCGTAATAGCCTCAAGCATACTAAGTGACGAACTTATCAATGTTCATTAGGTAATCACGTAGTTAAACGAAATGTCTGTCCAGTTCTTCCTGGGTTTCAATATTACCTCAATCGGGATCAGTTTTTGATGAATATCTAACTTGGAAATCAAACCGACTTCTCTAAAACCCTTTTAACTGCCTCCTACACCTGTTACACGTGGAACATAGGCCGCTGACCCCCTGATGCCCCTCTGGTGCTACTTCTGGTCTCAGGTTTGGATAAAGAAGGCGCGTTTGACATAAGGTTTGCAACCCATCTCGTAAAAAACCAACTCGCTAAAACGAACGCCGACTGGAAATCTCCAACCAGCCCTGTCCTACGCTTTCGTTTTCATTTATTCTTAAGTGTTACTCATTTCCTGAATGTCTGCCTTTTATTCTCGACTCCGTGTTTTCTTAGGTCTTCCTCTTCTCGTTTGGTCTTGAGGATTTCAAGTTAGGGCTTGCTTCGTGACATAGTTGAGCAATTTCTGCAATATCTATCCTATCGACGGTTTCTGTTTAATCTTTTCAGCTGGAAATTAGTTCCTGCTTTATCACAGTAGGATTGTCGCAAATTTTATCTGCCTTAAAAAACCTCGAATATCTTGTATGGACAACTTTTTGTTAAACAAACCTATCTTGGTAGTTTCATCTCTATGATTCTCCAAAATAATACAACATGCACAGGCTGAATCGCACTTACCGGAAAGGCTTTAGAAGATGTAAACATCTGTACATTGAGCAAGGTGGATCTAATGCAGATGTGAAGGCACGGATCGACAAAGCAAGGTCTGCATTTGTACAATTGAACAACGTTTGGAGCTCAAACCAACTATCAGCCAACACTAAAGTCTAAATGTTTGATACAAATGTTCAGAAAGTTCTACTGTATGGTGCGGAAACGTGGAGAACTACGAAAGTCATCATCCAAAAGATATGTGTTTATTAACAGTTGTCTACGCAAAATAATCCTCATCCGTCGGTCAGACACCCCATGAGCAACAACCTAATGTGGCAGAGAATAAACCAGATTCCATCACAGGAAGAAATCAGAAATGAGCGCTGGAAGTGGATAGGACGTGCATCGAGGAAAGGACACAACTGCGTCACAAGATAATCCCTCATTTGAGATCCTCAAGGCCAAAAGAAAACACGAAAACTAAGCAACACGTACAATACACCCAAAAATTGGAGACAGACATAAAGAAGAATGAAGAACGACCGGAAAAGAAGCCCTAGGACAGAGTAGGTTGCAGAATGGCGGTCATCGGTCCGTGCTCCTTTTGGAATAGTTAGTAACAGGCGTAAGTAAGTGGGTAAGTGTTAGGCCAGCACGTAAACACGTCAACTTGATATACTTGAACTATTACGAGAGCGAGGATCCGGTGACACGATATGCTACTCAAGTCCGATTATCCCGATCCCCATATTCAGTGAAAATAAGAAAACCTGATATGAAGTAGAACCTGTATTCTACAAAATATCCATAAAGTACGAGGTCCGAATCCAGAAGAGAAACAGGATCCCGGTCTAGGCATCCGGGACCGGGTCGTGGTCATAAAACCTTACAGATAATGCGTATTTATACATTTTGGTCGAATAGGAAACAACATCGAAGTCTGTCATTGACAGTTAAGTCGACCAATCGGAAGTAACATTTGAAATGACGTTGACAGTCCGGATGACCAATAAGAGAAAACATTGAAGTATTTTACTTTGACAGTTAAAACGACCATAATTTTGACCAATAGAAATCGACCAACAGGATTTGACCAATTATTCTCTTGGGATATTGGGTGAATATCCTAACAGTAAGTAAGTAAGTAATTATACTTCTCCATACAATAGAATTGTTTTGACATTGATATTGAAAATTCTGACTAAAAAAATATGTTGATTGACATTCTTCTTTCGTATATATTTTTTAAAATTAATAAATTCTAGAAAGCAGCTGAAAAACTTTTAGCATTATTAACTTATCCCTATCCTGGTTGGTTAGTCAATATAGAACAATCAAAACAGCAGCAGTTGAAAATCGATTCAAATGATCGACTTACAACACCATCAACAACATTGACAACAACAACTACAGCGACAATGGATACAACTAACACAAACCATATGAATCGTGGCGGTACTGGTGGTGGTGAATTGGACGACGGAGCGGAAGCCGATGATGAAAGTGTACTACAAGATGAAATTGAATCAGCAACACATACTGCTGTTGTTGTCAAACATCCTCATCAACAAACATTAATGCCAGATAAAAATGATGCTGATTTATTTGATGGCCTCGGTGAAAGTGTTGAATCACGTCGATTACAAATGAATGTATTACGTGAAACATGTATAACAGAGACAGTATTTCTTATTGTACGTTTATATCAAACTGCTGGATTACATCAAAAATGTATTGAATTATCAAATTTAATTGTAGATAATAAATTTAATTTATACAAGGTAAAGTTTGACTAATTTTGATTCATTTGGTTGAATTTATGATTACATAACTAACTTGGTTATTGAACAAACTATTAAATTTGTATCAGTGTTCAATAATTTTTTTGATTGATAATTAGAGGTTAGTTAGATGGTGTACTTTCGTAATGAAATAATTGATATTAGCAGTAATCGGAGAACTTAGGGTTCGATTATATTATTGAAGAAGTGTAATCCAGTGAAATAAACTTAAAAAGATAAAGATAAAGGTGATGAGGAATTCAGAAGATAATAGTTTGACAGAAGACAAACAATGAATGCATCTGCACCATAGTTAATGATTTTGAGCCATGTCATTCTATGTATTTAACCGTTGATTACTATCATCTCACGTGCCGCAACTAGGTAGTCTACACCTACCTGTATGACTCAGTCCACTTGTCACTGACTTCATGGATTTGTGCCATGTTTTGGTTTGGCCGCCCCTAGTTTTCTTCCAACCTATTCCTACATCACAAAACATAGCTCGATGAGGCAGTTGGTGGTTAGCCATACGCAACACATGTCCCAACCACTTCAACTGATGAAGTTTCAATACTTCATCTATTGATCTATCACCTAATGTGGAACGCTTCACGATTTTGTGTGCCATTCTTGCACAGGAGCCATGCTAATCTTCTGCGTATCGTTCCAATTTTAGTATGTGTACCTCCGAAGCGAGTACTAACGTGAAATTGTTTACATAAATCGTGTAACTCAAATATTGTTATGTACTAATTGGTTAGAAGAATTCTTAACAGAAAGAGAGTTATCCACTTATGATGACAATAGATATTCTTCAATGTTTTTATCGAATTGAAATTACGAATTGTTTAACCGCAACTGTAGTTGTGGTGTCGTGTGAGTGCCTCATTATTATTATATAAGGAGGTCACAAACCATTTATTTCTTCGTTACGAGAACTTTTTTTCCTAAAAACCTAAAGCAACTCAATTTAGCTGACAATTTAAGTTTACTGCTGGCACATTGAACCTCACTGGTCATTGCTTTCCACTAGAACTCTGGCAATTCCCTCACGCAACTAGTCACTAGTGAGCATTATTAAGAATCTATGACCAATGGAGTTCAAACGTGTTAACTGTCAGGCAGTTATCCGCCGAAAAGAATGAGTCAGGATGTGAATAATCATACATTGATTGCAGTTGAATATTAACGCCACTGGATCTCGACTCAGTAATCTAGAGATCAAGCATTTGTATGCGAAACCGAAGGTCGTGGATTGGATTGGATTTCAGCTCTTGTGGCTGTAAATGTGAACTACCACTGAGGAGTTCTATATTAAGATGAAACACCTATCCAGCTCTTCATCATTTCAATCACACTCAACACTCTTCATAACTTTATAAAAAAAGGCGGACATACTTCTGCTTGTCATCTTTTTGCATTGAACCAATTGTTATGCATGTACATAAACACGTCATCTGATATGCTTGAACTATGACAAGTTAACCTTAGTCGGTGAACGAGAGAGAAAATCCGGCGACACAACAGCCTACTCTAATCAGAGTGTCCCAAAACCCTCGTTGAGTAAAAGAAGAAGACTTGATATGAAGTAGAACATGTATTCTACAAGCATCCACAAAGTACGAGGGAGATCGAGTCTAGAAAAGAATCAGGATCCCGGAATAGGGATCTGGTCCGGGTCTATAAAACGTTTACAGAATAATGCGTATTTATACATTAGGTCGAATAGGAAACAACATTAAAGTACGCGACTTGATAGTATAGCCCGACCATATAGGAATTAACCATTAGGAATTGACCAATAGAATTAGACTTACAAAAATACTTCTCTGGGATACTTGATGAATATCCTAACACCGGATTCAATCAAATCAATCGGTTTTTTCTTTTTGTTAAAAGCCAAAAATCAATTCATTTCATATTGTCATATTGTTTTTTTTACTTTTT